AGGCTACCAGAAGCCGATCGTGTCAGGACACTGAAATTAAGTTTAATCGCAGTAAGTTAGGGGGTCAGTTAAAAAAGAGGCCCCTTATCAGGTCCGCGCGAGCACGCATTACGCACTTACATAATGAAAGGGGGAAGCTAGGGCGTCGGAAGGGAGTGCAAGGGCCGCGCGGGGGGTCGTCATCTGCGTACACCCTGTCCGGCCGCCCTCGATCGATACCTATACGTGTGGACTTTATGTAAAAAGCCTCCTGCTCACCCGGAGGACGCCGACCATAAGTGTCGAGAAACGAGTCGCCCCCAGGGAGGAAGGCACGAAATATCTTCAATTTTCGAGAGAAAATTTACCAATGCGGGGGCGAAAGCCCGCGGCGGAAGGGCTGCCTCGCTTGGCCCGCTCGCCTCTGTCCGAAAAATTCAGCCCTTAATTGAATTTTACAGATTTGCGTTCAGAACACACTCGGCCACCTAGCAATGTTGATTGCGTTCTATAGCAATTTTTTGTCAAACAATGTACTACAGAGTCGACAATTTGTACCCTTCCAAAAACCGGATTATTATTGGACCAGTCGAACGAAATGAGTTTCATCAAAAAGGAATCGGAAAACGCATTAAAATTTGTAAGACTTAGCGAACTCAACCGAAATTATATAAAAGAGTGAAGAACTTTATTACAAAACAATGTTTTTCGTTTTGTTAATTAAAGCAAAACAACGGGTTTCTTGTAGCGAAGCGTAATCTACTTCTCAAATATTTTCCGATGAACATTGAATAAAAGCGGGGTGAAAGAAAAAGGGACAATAGTTACCGAGTAGCACCCTTCTTATTAGTGCGGTGCCCTTTAGGTCAGGACTCATTTGTCCCATGACGTCATTTCATTCAATCCCACAACTGTGTCAAAGGATTTCTCATTTTCAATAAAATAATATCTTGTCAAGTTATTAAAACAAATACCTTGTAGATTTTTATGAATAACATTGCATTAAAACTATCCCGAACATCTTACTTCTTACTAATGTTATGAATGTGAATGTTTGAATGGATGTATGGATGTATGGATGTATGGTGGCTGCATGAACGGGAAAATTTGTAATGGATGTAGAACATAGTCTGAAAAACCATATAGGCTACTAGTTATTAATTCCGTGTGGATTGAGTCGCGGGCGGCAGCTATTAAATGTAAATACTCTTTTTTGCTACAAAAGCGCTATGTACTCTGTTAAATAACAATAAGCAAACCAATGGTGTACGTTCTTACTTATAACTGTATTTAATTCAGAAAGTAAGCAAAATAAACCTTACTTACCTACAATTTACGAGTACAGCGATAGAAATAAAAAAAATCACAAATGGACTATAAATACGTCATGAATTTGAAATAAGCCAAAGATGTTCGGACCTATATCGCTTCAGCGCGTTTAACTTTCCATCTTATCTTCTATTTATATAAAATGTATTAACATGTACATTAAGCATGTGATAATGACTAATATGAAATCAAAACAAACTTAAAAACATCCTGTATGCTTTGTTTAAAAATCTTTATATGTTTAAAATTACCTAAGAATATATTATGTGTCCGGTGAAACCGTATTTGGGTTGTATGTAATATATATCCTAAGCATAAACAAACGTGATACTTCTAAGCTCATAAACTTTGTGTTCACGGTTGATATTAAACGATACAACCGAACTAACCACTGACAAACACTCGTACAAAAATTTATTATCATTCATATCCCCTCTATATAAAAGAAAAAAGAAAATTTGTTTGTGTTTTAACCTAAAGTATGGAATGACTGTGTCAAAGAGGATATGCGTAGGAAGGGGGTAGATTCGAATGATGGCTGATAGAGATGTATGGAGGAGTAGTACATACTGTGCCGACCCTCAATAGTGATTTGGACAGGTTGATGATAATGATATTTTAACCTTAAGTAAGAATACAATACGCATTTCTACAACTACCTATCGCCCGTGACTCCCTCCGTGTCGTATAAAAATATTAAATTAGTAGCACATATGTTATTCCAAGTTTTTAACCCTAATAAAATAATTATTGCCTTCGTAAACTAATTTTTAATTGTATTTAGTTAGTGTCTTGACTTAATTGTTTTAACTACTCAAATCTAATCAAATTTAATTAGTTTGATTATTTAGACTTTTGATATTATTTTGATTTCGGTAAGTATAGCATACCGGTGTCAGTTCAGCTGTCTGAATTATAAATAAAATATGTAATTATTGTTCTAAACTGATAGCCTAAATATTTCAAAAATTACTACTTAGACTACAAAATTAAAATAATTTTAGATAATAAAGTTTTTTTCAAGTGGGCGATACTTAAAATCAAATTTCATAAACATAATATGAAGACAGAGTAAAAATTAATACTGGCACTAGCTGTCACCGCGACTCTGTCCTCGCGGAATAAGAAAAAAACTTAACATGTGGCTTATGTGTGCTTTATTTTATAAGAGAAGGAGGCAAACGAGCGGCGGGAACACCGAGGTGATCAACGACACCCATGGACATATACAACTCCAGAGGAACTGCAGATGCGTTGCTTCCAGACTATATCTATATCTATGCAAAATTTCTGTGTGATTCGTTGAGTCGTTCCGGAAATACGTTCAAACCAACATCCATCCATCCATCCATCCGTAAGGTAATATTATTAACGAGTAAACATAGAAGCTCAGGTATTTTTAATAGCCGATCTTACGTAAGACGTACATATACAAGAAATCATGTATGATATGGAAAATTTACATTTCTATATCAGTAAATATACTAAGTCTTTATGTAACTCACTTTTAATTTTAGTCCTATTCATGAACAAGAATTAATTAACCTTTTTAAACACTTTTCACTTTTGCGCAAGTTGAAATGTTTTACAGCTTCTTAACCTTTAAAATTGTGAAATCAGGTATTCATAAAATTTTCCTGTGCGTACGACATTACAATAGTCGATTCTAAATCGAGAACAACAATAGTGTACCTTTTTAAGACTTTCTAAAAGTTACATTTTCCTCACAAAGTACGAGAAACCTTACAGATGTTGTTTGCCATATTCCAATGCCGTTCGGTGGGCTGAGGTAAACTCCTTGAAACTTCATTCAATAACATCTAACTCCTTAAAACATTGAATTTGCTTGGCTTTGCTTGGTATACCATGTTTTCCAAACCTTGATACACCCCATAAAACGTCGCGCAAACTATATTTGACGTTGAAAAAGCGACGTCGTAAACCATTAGTAAAACTTTTAAAATTAATAGTTATAAGAACTGCAGCTGTGTAGGTACTTTTGCTTGCTGTAACACTAACGTACCGGTGATTCCAAGAAATGTTGACTTTAGTTTTTGTATGACTTGTCAAAATATTATAATTGCTGTTGCTTACACATTTTCGAACTGTAAGGAGAGTAAACAAACTTCCTGAATAATGTATTGACGAAACTGTTTTCATGTTCGCAAAAGATAACCTCAATAGAAGTGGAGGAAAATAAAAGTGACATTATATTTGAATTTGAATTATAAAATAATACATTTTATCTCTTTCCATTTAACGTCCACTCTTTGTAACGTCGCAAAATGTTTGGTCCCTAAGGAAACGTTGTATATAGTTTTACTACTCTTAAGTTCTAATATTATTTCTATTTCAAGTATCTAATGACTGTCATTCAAATCATCATTAATCATCATTAAAATTTAATAAAAAAATATCAAAAAACGTTGCTTAGATTACTTATTAAAATGTTGTGACGTAATAGTCTGCTATTTCACGTAGTATTTGAAAACAACTGCATATATGTTCATTAGTTTTCTCTTGAAATGTTCAATAGAAACATAGAAAATGTAAAATAACGATATATAATATCGAAACTGATTTAAGCCAATCTCGTTGAAGAAATTGAGAGTGTTCCTATATTGAGCCAACACACGAGCCTTACAAAATGTATTCAGCGTCGCCGTTGGAAACCTATTTCGACTGCCCTACCTACCAATACGTAGGGCGGGCAGTTATAGCCCGAGCACATGTAAAATAGCTCTCTTCGACACTGCAGTATGCTCTACTTATTTAATTTGAAACAATTCAATTTTCAAATTGTGTCATCTTTCATTTGGCTAATTTGACTGATCGCAAATATAAAGGGATTAAAAGAATTGCTCAAAAATAGTCAAACCAAGATTCGAACATTATATTTTTTTCAATTTGCATTTGGACAACAGTATTATATGTCAAGCACATCAATGTGTGAAAATTATACAGTTGGACATAAGGTTCAATTGAAGTGGTTTTATTTCTTAATCAATTATCCTTGCATAGTTATCCTTCCATTCAAAATTTAACAAAGATTATTTTGAAGTCGATGTAATTAAAAATGTTTAATTATCTATTTGTGTTCGAATGTATGTATTTACTTTTGTAATCATTAATATTTTCTTTTTGTGAATCCAGCACACATTGCAAGGGCTCGATGACTGAAGTAAAACATCAATTGTGGCTGCTAATGTCTATTATTAGGAGTTGTCGTATATGATGGCTATACATAAACAACAACATAAGAAACATAAAGTATAAAAGCTACATTTTGTACTAGTAGTCAACTGTAGTCATTTCGTAGTGATTTCCGCAATCGACTTATTGTTTCTATATTTCCCAGACTACAGTTTTTTTTTTGTGACTGAATTGCCACTGTTTGCCTTGAGGAGGCATTTACAGCTTCACCGGGCTTGATCCAGACTATAGTGTCCCAAAACTATCTCAAACGGAAATAGTAGAGGTCTTTACAAATACCTGGCTTATCTTTCATTAAAATCATTTACATATCACTTTTTATGTTTCAAATATAGTTGATGGTTAAAAATTAAATTAATTTTTTTTTAAAGTAGAGCATTTTTCCGCGCACAGAGGTTACAAGCTGGGTACCGGGGGCTACTTCTCCGTTATATCTGCCCGTCCAAGATACATGCCTCGCATAGGCGCACTCGTGTTACCGGCAGCGTCCTGGCCAGCGGGGGCCGCGGGTGGATTGCGAGGATCGAGCGGGGCGCGGGAGGAGACTGCCCGTTGCCCCGCGCCGCCCCCCAATGATGGCCCCGCCACCCCGCGGCCACCCTGCGTCATCTAGTGCGGCGACTACTCAGCTAGGGTTAATTCTAAACTACTTCATACTATTTAAATATTTTAAAAAGTTTTATTTTATATATTTTTACCGGAAAATAAAAGAAGATAATTTAGATTCACACAACAGTTAGGGCTTACATAATTAACAAACATTTTATATGACATTCAATAAAAGTACAAGTATCCTTATAAAATGGTTATACATAAAGTATAATTTCGTACGAATCGAATATTTTTAAATAATAGAAATTACTATTTACTCATTTAATTCTGTATTTCACTATGTTTAGAAAAATCATTGTCTGATGGTTAAGAAAAGCATCTAAGTTTTAGAGGTTATTATGATACTGCTAAACGAACGTTATTGACCATAGCCCTAATTAATTATGATTAGCTATTGCAGATAATATAATTTAGATTAGCGAATTATCTATCAATGACATCCTGACCAATCAAATTAATTGACCTGTTGGGTACTTACAGATATTCAATAATACGACAAACGTGGAAAACAATAAGTAAAGTAGAAAGATATGTAGATAAAACAAACATTATTTGTGTTTCAAATTTAGCCTCCATTTATGATTCAATTATAAGATATATAGTGATGTCTTAGAAAATTAATATTTTTTAAATAATTTAAAATATAATGCAGCTGTGCGTGTTTGTTTGTTTCTTGGCAGCCCTGAATGTCCAGCCCGCAGCCCTGATTCTGTAGAACAGAGAACGGCGGCGTGCGTGCCTGGTTCGCTGTAAACAGCCTACCCGCGTACGTATGTAGGGCGGTTGGACGTCCCTAAGTCCCCCCAGAGAAAGGGGTGCCCCCGCTTCTTCCTTGTTCCTCCTTGTGCAAATTCCCCTGGCGATGGAAATGTGCTCCGCCACATTTTATACAATTTCTAGTCGGTGCGTTCCAAACTTTACTCGTGTCCACATTCAGCCTTATTAAATTGCTTAATTCTCACGTAGTCGTGTCGGCATCGGCGAAGCTAAAGATTAAGGCGCCCTATGAATGGTTTGCGTAAGTTATTAAGGTTGTTTGTTGTGAACAATTTTCCCGGCCGTTGACTTCTTGTTTCATTCACTACGCGCTAACTCGTCCATTCTTACGAGCTGCGGACCATCATTAGTAAGATACGCCATCATTATATACATCATTTTATTACACGGTAATTTTATTTTCGCTATTTCATTTTTAGTTTTACCGCATACTTTTCTAGAGTTCGAGGTTGCGAAATAAAAATACGATATAAGTATAATAAATACACAATGTAACAACTTATTATCAAATATAATATAATAACGTACCCTTTACATTTTTTTTCTATTATTAAAAAATCTGAATAATTATCTAGTCCTCTTACTCTAATTTAATGGCTTTTTATCTGTTTAAATATTATAGAAAATGATAACGTTTTAAAATTCCTATTGCATCAAGTTAGATAAGTTATTAAGTTTCTCTAAAGAGGTATGTTTTTGGTTTTGATCAAAAAAAATATTGAGGCTAAAGGGACGTTATAAATTTAAATGTTAGCACAATGTTCATAACTCTGTTTTACTTCATCGATCCTGCTGCAGCAATTTAAACCTTGGGGATCAACCATTAGGTTGACTGTCTATTGACAAGATATGCCAAAAACACTTCTCGTAAATATCTTCGAGGCACTGGCGACCAACCCTGTATTACATAAGATACATCTATAAAATATAAATCGACACTTGAATAAATAAACTTCTGAAACCTATAGAGTTAGACAAAAATCACAGATTGGTCTAGTTAAACCATTTGCGTTTATACATTTACTTAACATTCTAGCCTAACGAAAAAGTTTCATTTAAAAAAATAGTATAATAACAAAAAACTAATATTGGATTATGAATTTCGTTTCCATTGTTCTTAAAAGTACATTCAAGAAGTTATCTATAGGTTTAAAAAAATTACATCTTACTAATATTATTATTGCGAAAGTTTGGATGGATGGATTTTTGTAACAGAGTATATCCGGAGCCGCTCAACAGATCTTGATGAAATTTGACACATATGTAGAATATAGTCTAGAAGAACTCAAAGGCTACTAATTAAGTTTTTTTTTAATTCATTCGCGAACGGAGTCGTAGATGACAGCCATTTTTTTCAATAAATCCAAAAAACCTTACGATGGGATAGACTCGTGAATGTTAACAGAATTATAAGGAAGTCCTAACAAGATTCATTGAGACATCAGACATCATACCGCTCCTATCTTGACTTCTGTCAAAAACCCAAACATTAATTTTCCTTCTCACCTATTCCTAAGCGATAGACGATTTACTCTTGTGCATAATAATATTTTGAATGTAGTAGCATCGTATCCGAACAGGCTGATGTTGTTTTATTTTGTAATAGATGGCGCTAGTAGTAAGTACCGAAGAAATGGTTAATACGAAAGAGTAAAATTAAAGTATGATAAGTCATCCTTATAAACATTTATTGGTTGAAATAATTTGCCCTTTAAAAATATTTCACAAGCCGTGTAGGTTTTGAAGATTTAATTACATTTCGAATATCAGATAACACAATATTAATAACATTTGAACTAATCTGAGTACAAATTTATTGATTATTATAATCCCGGATGGTATATAAATAAGTAATTAATAATGCTACAAACATTTCATTGGGCGTTCTCATTATATTAAATTCCTCGGAAATATTTAATTAATCCTTTTCAGAAGGCTTCCGAAACGATTTGACTTAACAATAGCTAAATTCAGTTAGCACTATCAGAGGTCATAGCGGTCGTTGTTGGAATACTTGTCATGTACAGAATTGCTGGGCTTTTAATTAAAGCTCAAGTAATTTAGAGGGCCAGGGGGTATCTAACGGTGGCTCGACGCGTGGCGATGTATAAGGCATAGTACTCTGCATACTCATTTGGAAATGGTTAAACAGAGGTAGCTAGGGTGGGAAGGGTGGCGCTGGGCGATGGTTAGTTCTCTGCTACATATAAATTAATAACGTACCCGCTGTAGCTCCCACTAGATATAGAACGCATGTCTGTAAACTCTGTACCGGGTATACAGCGTGTTCAAACATTACAGTTGTCTTGAAAAACAATTAAGATTCATAAATAATTTTTTTTAATTTATTTTTGCCTTTAATTTAATAAATAGAGTCTAATCAGCCAAATACATTGAATAAAAATATAGAAGGTTGTTAGCTTATGTTTCGTTATAAAGTATGAATTATGATTCTAACTATACAACTCATATCTATAAGTATAGTATATAATCTCTAAAACTTGATATTTTTCTACTATAGATATTAGTATTTTAGTAAAATACCCAATTAGTCAGAAAATCCAACTTAGCATGAACCCAATTAGAAAGGAGTTAATTAGAATAAAAAATAGTATTTAAATTATTCCTTTTTCTTCTTCGTAGATATAATCCTAATTTAGTCAGATTAACAAAATGAAGTTTTTTAACCGGCTTAAGCACAAAGGTTTTAAAATGTATTTATTTAAATCAATCTTTTAAAACGCAGTTTAAATATTGTTTGTATTACCTTTAAGTCGAAAAGACACATTTTTGAATACTTATAAAAAAATTGTGTGTACGAATATTACTCTAGGTTTCCCCAGTCCAGGTATGAAAAAACAGAGAAAACAATTTGGAATTGTAATACAAAAAAAATTAACTCTTGTTACACGTAATTCTTTTACATTTATTAGAAACGTCTTAGTAGGAAAATACTTAAAAATTTTAAATTAAATTTTATTTTATAAATTCCGCCCTTAACATCATACTGTATAACTAAGATGTGAGATGTAAAATTTGAACGGAGCACAAGGCACACCTATTATGAAATTTGTTCACACAAGCAAACTGATCGTACACACACAAACTCACACAAAGGAGAGGTACTCGGACTTAGGCGGCTATTGAGGGTGGGTGCGATCCGAATACTTGCGACGCTGGGCCGGCTTAAATTCTCGTATTAATAATATGTATCCTCTGAGCTGGATTTCTGTACGCCTATGCCCGACGTAATTATGTTCCCGTTACAATAACATTTTTAATCGAAAATCTTGCCACATATTATAAAATGTTGCGTTGTATATTTCTTCGATTCAAAATAGATTTCCGTTCGGGCTAAAAATAAATGGAGTGTTTATTAACTTTTACTGAATAAGTCCATAAACAAATATTAAGGTTTGGAAGTCTAATCGTGTGTTTTTGAGACCAAAAACCCTTTTTAAAACATATTGCTATGTATGTTTTGTCAAAGATATCACAGCGATGGCGATATTTTTTATTCAGAGATTTTGGTGTCAGCAACCAACAGTAAACAGTTCATCTCAAAAGGAAAATAAATATACTAGTAGTAGTAGTAAGTGATAGGTGAAGTAAATTTCCATACTGAATACACACATTAGGTAAAATATTGATGCAGACATTGAGTTTATTCGATATTACATTTTAAAGTATTGCGTTAAGGCTTATTTTGTAACAACAACCCCTTTGTAGTAAACATGTGCAGAAAATTCCATTTTAAAACTTGGATGTTCAAAAACTCTACCGCGATTTTTGCAGTCGCGTCTAAATTAAGAAATTTACGTTAATAATTAATCGCCGCAAAAAGGATTGTCAGCCGCGTTTGGACAGTGTACCAACCCAATGCTTAAATTGAAAAGGGTAGATCTCTGTTTAAAAATTCAACGAATGACTAAACTCTTGCTATAATATGTCTCTGGTCGTAGCTTGTCACCAATGGCGTAGTATGTTATGTTATCTTTTCACTAATATTCACTTAAATCCCAAATCATGTAACCGTTGGTTTGTGAGACCAAAATATCTGGGAAAAAGGAGGATTTTTGTGTCAGAAAGCCACGATAATTTGACACAATCTCTTTTAACCACATTTAAAGTCTGAATTAGAATACCGTTAATTAGTAATGTGTACTAAAACATATTATCTCGATTTAATCAAAAAAGTTTCACTATTATTTTTTACTGAAAACAGGGCAAAATATAGTGTCATCAAAAAAATAACACACTTGACACAACTTTTTTTGTACACTGATTAATAATTTTTCAATGTTTACGAAACTCTAAGACTATACTTACAAATAGCTGTAACCCGCAACACCGTCCAAGCGGAACTTAAATAAACATGATTAGTAGCCTATGTGTTTGTTCTACAACTATGTCAAATTTCAGCAACATCCATGAAGCTGTTCTGGATATAACTTCTAACAAACATCCATCTATACATCTAAATATTCTCTATTATAATATTAATAAGAAGTAGGATGTGTTATATCCAACATTAGTTTAAAATGCAGCCAAAAGATGGCGCTTTTCATACTTCAGATACAAAGTCAGGCGGTTTTTTTTAAGTGTTTGTATGTCTCGGCAGTGGAAATCCACGGTTATAGTATAGATTTACACGGTGAAAATTATAGTATACCCATGATGTAATTTTTGGATACTATAAAAATTATTTTATTTTAATTTTACATTAGCCAAAGTTCCACTGATATCGAATTTCGAAAATCAATAAAAAAACAACCGAAGTAAAATAAATAATCTACTATAAACATTTTACATCATATAGAATTTTGTATAAATGTTTGATAATACTACTAGGTAAAGGTTGGAACGAGAAAAGGTAAGCTAGACCGTATACATAAGGAATAAAGTTCAATTTTGGTTAATAATTTAAAAGGTTATTTTAATGTTTGTTTTGTGTTGAAAGACTTTTAAAGTACACATCTTGTCAAAGAAATCGTATAACGGAGGCAATTTCAGTATTTTATGATAGAGTATATTTAAGTTACCATTTTCTATTCACTGATCAGGTCAATTTTCGTATGAGGTTTCTATTGTTGCGAAGATAATAAAGTAATAGGCTAGACAGACGATGCCATAAAAGAAAAAGAATAAAGTTTAGCAAATTAAAACTATTGAATACATCTTTTTAATTTTATAAAATCAGTAGGTTACTGCTTCCAAGGCAGGTTTGCTTTGCGGAGCCTGTTCGAATCCATTTACTGCTCTAAATTATGCGTAAAACGTCCATTTGACGCTCACCCCTCTTCCCTCTTATCGCTTGGACAGAAACGGACGGGGAGCCTCGGGCGGGGGTGCCGGACTAGGGCAAATTTTGGGGGGTTTACAACCCCCCCAAGTAAGGGTGGTCCGAAGTCCACCTCACCCTTTAGCTACCCTGAAGTTCCATCTCTCACACCTATAAATTCGGCACACACATTTCACCCCATCGGGCGGGGTGGCAGAGGCGCACCAATCCTTTCGCAGAAGCTCTGTCACATTCGCTAGGCCGCCAGTGACCTCAACTACAAATTAATATTCAGAAATGTTGCCGTTCCGATCGTTAATCATTACTGGTTCTGGTCTTGATCCCAACACATTCGGTAGACAGACTCGTAGCATCCACTCAAAACTAAATTCAACGATAAATCTGTAAAATAACCATGGGACAAGCAAAGAAATTAACCCCTAACAAATAACAAGACTCCGAGAAGTAGAAAACTCTAAAATATTTAGTAAAGATCATGTCATAATGAAATACACAAAACAGTTGTCTATAATATTCAATTAATGACTATTATTACAACTTTAGGTCCATAAATAATATTAAAATATGATTACGAATCCGATAACCAGTATGAAATATCATCCACAGCAATTTAATGTTCGTAGTTTAAATTCAATAGCACGCAAACTTTGCGATGACACGTAATTAAGTTATAATTTTTTGTACCAACTTTATCGTTTCAATAAAGCTTATATTTTTTCCGCTTTTTAACGAAAACGAATTAATGCAAGCTTAACGGTTGAATAGTGAAAGAAATCCTTTAAGAAGTAAAGCAGCCAAAAGTATAAAGTACGAATTATCTTTTATTTTTCATATTTTTTTAGTCTTCCTTAAATTATGATTTTAATAACATAACTAAAACTTATTTTAGACAAAGTCATAAGTAACAGATTTCAATCACTACCCGTTAGTTTCGAGACCACAATCTCTGCATAAAACATATCGTCATCTCTGTCTTTTATCTTTGACAAAACTGAGTTATCAATATGTTTTAACGGGAATTTTGATCCACAGTAAGTTTTTTATATAGGAACTGATAACTTGATAAAAAAAGGAATCATTTCACAATAGTGCCTGTTTATCACAATCAAAAGCAGCGCCTCTCGGGAAAATTATTCAAATATAGATGGCGCTGTATGCTGTTTCAGAATACACAAATGACGTCAGAATGTTTGCAGTAACCTCTGCAGCTTGAACTCATCTACGTTGCACGACTAACAAAGTTACAAAATGTTTAAAAAAATTGGCAACTGACAGCAAAGTATGTAAATAAACTAAGTATCCTCAACCTAATGCCTAATATGCTTGACCGATGTTGAAGAACGAGTAGATATACATAATAATTATATTTTTTTATATCTTTCATAAAAAACAGAAACATTGGATTTCAATTTATTTAATTCAAAGGTTGCAAATCATTAAAAACCATTTACCTATTTGTTAAAATTAAAAGCAACCAACTAGGCAACAGTTTTATTAAGTAACTAGCTGTCACCCGTAATTCCGTCCGCGTGGATATATAAAAAACTTAATATATATATGACGGCGGAGGTGGGTTGCCGCTTGCAGAGGGGTTCATGGTGCACTTTCCAATCTTCAAATTACAATTATAATAACGTAGGTAACGCGCGATGGTTCAATGTCCGTTCCAGTCGGCAGCGACAGGAGAAGTGCTCTGCTGCCGTGCCTCGGCTGGTAAGGTGTTGACCCATCGAACGCCGACAGACGGCGCTGGCGTCACTTTCCGTAGTTAACTCAACTGCCGCAGTGGCGCTAGTGTTGCGTTGATTACGACATATATATAAGTTAAATAAAAGCACCTCTTCAAAGCATAAATTCCAAACAAAAAAAATGAATAAATAGTATCCTATATCCGTCTCCTGGCTCTAAGCTACCACCTCACCAATTTTCAACCATATCGGTAAAGTCGTTCTTGAGTTATAAATAGTGTAACCAACACGACGTTCTTTTATATATATATATATATATAATAATCTCTTATGTTTGGTCATTTATATGACATTTTGTAGACGAAATATCTAAGTGGGTGGTCCTGTATAAATGAGTAGTGTCGCGATTGATTGTTTTTTTCATTAGTCTTTAATAAAGCTTTCGTATAATATTCGACAAAAGACATATTAAAAAAGAAAAAAAAAACAAGTTGGAATAATATATTAAATTATATCATGCAATTTATCAGCAATTTAAGAATACATTGTAGGTGTAATCATTTTGTAATAGAAACTAAATGCACAGGAGATTGATTACAAATTTTTTTGTGATCCAAATTGGAGATTAAATGTTTTCTGAACAAAATAGATTGTGCGGACCGTCGCTCTAAATCATTGGGTACGTGAAAAGTTTACGCTTAATTTTTTCTACTTTCAGCCTAAGATTCTCAAATTTTACGAAAGTAAGGTGAACCTTGTACTATCTTGAACAGCAGTTGTAACTGAGTGACACGGTGTAAATATTTCTGTTATATGTAAAATGAACCAAAATAGCTCATCATAATATAGATTTCATATTTAACACTTATACAATCTAAAAATTTTGAAATATTTTCCATTCGTAGTAGTACAAATAAAAATTAAATACGTAGTGTATTGTAAAGAATGCATTTTGTTCAACTCATTTCAAATAAGTCATATTTTTATTTACTTCAGAGAATTACAACAAAACCAATAATTAATGTTTATAAAAGTTTGAGAAGCCCTTGTTAACAATAAGGGTGGCGCCAGAGGGTCGCCAGATTTGTTCGCAGGTACCCCATTGCTTTTCGACAAAGGTAACAATGTCATTTAATTCAAAAACTAAAATAAATTATATAATTAATAATCCAATATTGGACACATTTTAAGTTAAAAAAAAATTAAACATATTAACTTCGGACACTATTGACTTGTTAGACTTTTATCTGTTTGAATATTTTGAACGATCAGCTAATCTAAATGTTTTGCAAAGTAGGGTAACATTTGTACCGCCTGAGACGTTTTCATCTAGAGCTTTCACGGATTTAGTTAACAAATATTTACTATTATAGTGTTTCCTTCTTATATTATCATCGTCACTTCTTGTGTCTAGTAAATGTATTTGATTTCTGTTGTTCTGTTTATTATAGTCTTCGGTATTTGAGTTAGAACTATAGTTACAAACTAAGTCGACTCTTATAACTTGAACTGTTTCAGGACTTTCAGATTTTGATATTGTAATGCTTTTCCTTTTTCCATTTTTATGAAATGCTATTTTTGGATTATCTTCCTTAGTATTATTAATTACATCTTCATTTTTCTGCGTTTTGTTGTTAAGTTCCGAATTATTATTCAATTCTTCCTCTAACTTACTACTTGTTTTATCTTGTTTTATTTCTTCGAATGTATTGGAATCGACTTGTATTGATTTATTTCGCTTAAGATTTTTATCGAAATTTTGATTTGATACGCTAGACTCAGCTGAAGATGACCTTGAACGGGCATTATTACTGAAGTATTTGGAATAATCGAGGTAATAGGACGTGAGTTCAGACGCCGCATCAACGTTATAGTTTCCCATATTTCTATCAATAACTTGCTTTACAAACATTCTGTGTTTTTGTCCACTGTTTAATGTTTTATATTTAAAACTTGTACGCTGTCTTTTACTCTGCTGTGATTCACCTTTGAATTGTAAGGTTTGTACTGTTAGAAACATATCGCTTACATCGTGATGATTTACACTGGGCATAATTCGATTGACGTTGCTCTTCTCGTATTCAGTACCATGACATCTGTTATATAAATTAAATTAGGCATAATTAATATATTAAATATATAAAATAAAGGGAGAATAATATCTTAGGCCTAAGTATCAAAATTTATTACTAAACTACTAAACACAACAATTTGCTGTAATAGTAAAATGGTTACCTTTCGGCTTCATATGTCCATCTATTGTTTTCTTCAAATTGTGGATCCACTAAACGTTTTTGGCAATACCTCCTAGGCTTGTCGTGTCGTGGTTCAGATTTTGGTCTAGATCGAATTCTTTCTTGCAAATGCAGTTTAGCGCAATTCATTATTATTAATTATATCTGAAATAGAAAGCATCATCAGCTAGCAATTCGACAAACATTTATTTCACTTACTATTTTGGTGTATTGCTACGTAAGTTAGCATCTAATATTAGGATAATCACCCTCAACTTAGGGTAGGCTCCAAACTCATCGGTGGGGACGTATAGTGAGCTGATTATGATGATGTTTAAGATAATAAGAAAGACATCCTAACTATATAAGTTTTGAAATTATGTATTAATTTGAACTAGACATTAAACATTTTTATTAATTCTAGCGGTTTATTAAACTTCGTTAAATGTTAATTCTTTATTTATATAAATTATATGTACTAGCAATAATTTATTTTTTAAATGCTTTGTTAAAAAGACATCCGACAAAATTAGCAATTACTCGATGCCATTTCGGTAACGCTCTGTTGTTCCTGCCAATGCACTATTGTTTGAAATCTTTTCATCCTGGAAGCAATTAAGTCAAAAGAAACTTCTATATACCCTGCCCTTTCGTACAACACTAAATGTTCACGGATTAGAGCGAGACGGCCTAAAATATTTTTTTTAAACTATTGATAGAGGCACTACAATGCCGGCAGGATGGTGTATTTGATCTAACAACGTAGCGGTCCACATGTTCTTGGGAATCGCTTCACCAACGGTGCAAAAAATGTTTTTCTATTCGTTTGCATTGGTACAAACGTACTTGATACTTGTGAGTTCAGTGCATTGTCTCATGGCAATATATTTAAATATCAGGCGAATAATTTATTATATGTATTCTTTTTTTCAAATAATACACATGGCTTTCGAAAAATAATAAATATTTAATTTACACATATACATGTGTTGCGGTCAAATAAATTAATATTTATTTTTCATTTATGAAATAATACATACTAATAATAATATACACACATAACGACATACTACTATGTCATTATATTTTTTCAATAATTTTTGATTTGCGGAAAGAAAAAAGTTATGCCATCTAATTACTATTTGAAAAAAATATTTTGTTTTCAATATAATTACTATAAATACAGACCGCGTTTTCTTACTGAACTAAACTTTTAGTCGAGTCAAATGTCAACCTGTCACGCGATTGCGTACATTTATTCAATTTCCAACTGTTTTATGTCTACCAATACGATACCGTGGAAAATGTTCTATTAAAAATAATTAAGCATAAACAACATGATAAATTAATAGATGTCTCTTCTAATAAAGTTAAAATAATTTATCTTACAAATATAATTGTAAATTAAAACGATAAAACTTAAAGCATGTAAAAGATTTAAATGTTTCAAGAATATTTGGTCCTTGTATGAAATTCTCGCACACATCTGCACAATAATAGGCACAGCTGTTATATGAATAGAAAGACACGCACACTTGTATACTGTCCTGGTGCATCCAGTGCACACGGACATCTTTCCTCACAAAAAAACGCATTATTATTATCCTGGAACGAGGACATCGATCCTGTTCAAAGCAATTTCAACCGTATTTAAAAACATCAAAAGAGATTCCAGATAAAAGTGGACTAACTGTAGAATATTATATTAACTGACTTCTTTTTAAACGGATTTCTAATTTAGATCTTAATGCTAATGGAAGAAAATATATTATCGTGTGAAAGTGTTATGAATGGAATTCGAGTTTCATAATGTTGAAAAAACTATCTCTCGCAAGGCGCCAAATGCGCCTTGCACTACGCCTACGAGTTCGAGTGAATTTTGTTAACTTGTACGGACGTGACTTTGAACATCCACAAGTTATTATTGAACATACGCACGTGGTCATTTACATTATTAAAGCACGCAAAATAAATAATAATAAATTATTTTATATTATATTTAGGCAAATAACTTGCTAAAGCTTACCACGGATGTTTATAATCGCGTTATTCTCCAAATGAATTTTAGTTAAAGTCTGCTTAGAAATACTTTTTGAAACAATGGTTTTGTCAATTCTATAGTTGTTTTTGTAAACGACTGTCCCTTTAAAATAAAAGGAAATAAGACAATGAAGCTTTTTACGATTTTAATAACGATTATGTTAGAAAAACTTTTCAGTCAGAAGTTTTTAACTTAAAACAACAAATCCATCAAAGCCAAGAATTTGTCAGATTTTATGGGTATCACATTTCGATATCTGTTTTTGTGTGAATTATTACTGCTAAATTGTTTCAAATATTTGACATCGTACTATCAACCTGTAACTGTAATATTAAAAATCCTGCTCTCAATAAAAACCCGTCAAACTAGTTGACCATGACCATACAACCTGACAGTGGGTCAATTTTAACAAAAGAGGGTCACTATTCAAGATCGATTACACTACCGAATCATAATATGTTACCATTTGAGTCAGTATTACCATTACAATAGTGACCCTTTGCGACTACTAGTTTTCTTTACACCCACATTTCCACATCCGATAGTGGATTTAAAAGGAAAATAACATAAATTAAGTTGTCTGGTAAAAATAAGTCAGTTAATAAAAAAACTAGAAGAAGTTAAAAATCAATGACTGAATCTTTATAATAATTTTATTTAAATTAATTACAAAATGTTTATTTTAATCCAAGGATTCGTTCCCATAGAATTTAGTGTACTTGTATCAAATTGACAGTATTCTTCCTGACATCGCATGAAAGTCGGTTATCGATTTTTTTTCATTACACAACCCTTGTGCACCGACTGCATTCAAGACCCCTTTGCTCTAAAATCTATCACAGACCAGACAAAGCCGGGTGCGCGAATATGTAGCAGCGAGTAAATAAAGGGATGATATATTATGAAAGCTGATGTGATTAAAAAAACCATTTCCCTTTGCGATGTCAAGGTGCGTTCTTCTTAGTGTTGTTCTGATTTAGATATTTATCGATACTTTTTTCGTTATCTTGACTTACGTTATTGCTCAATAACGTGTTAGAAAAAGATTAAATATTTGCTGTATAACGAGATGACATTTTTTTTATTTTCATTATTTTTTCTATATATTATTTTTAGATAAATTATCGTACCAATATTTGTCACCTCACCTTCTAAATATTGTAAAATTGTTTTTAGTTCAATCATTATTGCTTTTTTAAATACGATGAAAAGTTATTCCTCCCCCCCCTCCCTTTTTAAAAAGTAAAGATTATGGTGTAGTATTTTAAGTAATTAAAATAAATTTTCATAACTACATGTCGATAACTATAAATGGGTTACATCCCTTAGAACTCTCAGGTGAACGTAATCATTGTGGGAACCGTTACGTCTATCTCTTTCAAAAACTATATCCATCCCTATCGGAATTTGTTCGCTAGACAATCTATGCTTGAATGTAATAAATGGTTCAAAGGAAACGTTTCATCGGTAATGTATTTGTTTGAAATGATACCACATCAATTTTGAAATAATAAGAATTGTATTTACAATTTTGGCTTAGATTTAAAGAAAAAAAATATCATTTATTTTAATGTTTTTTATTTCGCAATCAGCGGG